AGAAATAAATGTTAGCAAATGTGACTGAGCCCCGAGTGACCACAGTGCTTCTATCAATTTTACATTAATGACCACAGAGTCTGCTCAGTGATTGATTAGGATCAGGCTTTGGAGTCAGACATCTGCGGTGCTCAGGACCAAGCAGCCCGGTAACCAGAAGCATGACGTTGCGCAAGTAAATCTCCAAGAGCCTCAGTTTCCTCACTGTCAAATGGAGATAATTATGGTAACTGCTCCTTAAGATTATGATAATTAAACGTGAAAAATACATGTAAATTCTTCAGAGAGAAGCCTAGCATATAGCAGGTAGCAGTACTTAATGTCAGCAATACATAATAGCAAATGAAGTCAATAGTTAATATTATTGTTACATTAGCATCAGGTACATGCCTTCGACAATGTATTGATCAGAGTAAGAGCACTACTGGGTTTCCATGCTGATCACCAGGAAGACAACCAAAAACTGCTGTCTTCCTACCACAGGTTGGAAACATGCCTCCATTTGCTCATTAAACATTTTACTTCCTTCCTGTGCCAGAGCTCTGTGTTAGGCTCGGTCCTGAAATTTATTTGGCACCTGAAAAGGCCCAGTGATAACTCTTGGCAACCGAATCAAAATGACACAGCTGCACAATTCCACTGGCTCACTCCAAACGTAAAATAGAAATTGAGCACCTGGAACCTATCTAGAGCCTGCCTTTGGGCCCTGACGTTTGATAACTGCGCCCCACCCACTGACTCTCAACCTTTGCAGCGCTCTAGCCCTGAGCGCCCCTCGGCCACCCGCTGGCACACCTCTTACCCCAGGGGAGGCGCGCGCGCGCACGCACACACACAAACACACAAGCACACAGCAGCCTTCCTCGCCCACCTGCTGCCCGCGCGCGCGCGCACACACACACACACACACACGCACGCACACACCAGCCTTCTTCGCCCACCTGCTGCCCAAAGGCCGACGACGCATGCACCAGCAAGGACAAGCCCAGTCTTTTCAAGCGACACCTGTCGCCCGGCCTGTTCCGTGCGGAGGGCGCGAGTCTCACGCTGTCTTTTAAATGCGTCACCCAAATCCCCACCCCTACCCGTAGCGGGCGTTCCACTCCTCCCAGTGGTTTGCATGTGCACTGGTGCTTTCCTTTTAGGACTTAGGGGAACTCCAGGGGTAATAACCACAGACACTTCCTCTTAATCAGTGGCCTGGCAAACCCGCTCGGGGATTTCCATGACCCAAAAGCATGACTTTTAACCGTGGCCTATCTGCGCGGCATTTACTGAAAGACATTTGCTTCATTGCTCGTGGGCCAGAGGAAATCTTGATAACAACCCATACAGAGAGGACGGTCATTGCTCAGCCTGCCTGGAAAAGGTCAATATGCCCTAGTCACCCTCCATCTGCCATACCCTTTACACGTGAAAAGGTTCGGTTTTTCAATCTTCTACTATAGCTGCAGAAGTCCAGCATTTAAAAAAAAAAAAAATCGAAACTTTGTGAAATCTTTCTATTTATTTTTACTTTTTGTTCCGATCAAGAAAGTAAGAGGTGAAAGGAAATGTAGGGGTATGTGAAAAAAATCATGCAGTTCTCCTTTGCAGTTTATTTTTACCATTTTAAAGATTGAAATTGCTTTATTAATTTTCTGTATTGAAATACTTTTTGTTTTGTTTGGTGAGTTTTGGGTTTTTTTTTTTTTTTTAAATAAGTATGGTGGAGTTGGCTACTTAAAAAAATCCCTCCTTTATAGCCTTTGATTTCACAGGGCAGGTTTCTGAGTTGCAGTGCCATTTTCAGGGAAATCTGACATCTTTGAGCCTAACTGCACTGCCATATTTTCCTCAAGGTTCTCTAAGTAGTAACTTTAAGCAACTTTATCTGAGAGCCATCCGTACCAGGGTAAGAGATGGATTTGGGAGAGCTCATCTGATTTTTATCTTCCAGTAGATCAAAGACAATTACCAACCAGAGGCAGAGCCCATAAAGATTATTTGGTACTTCATCATTCTGTGGAAACAGCATCCAGTGCATTCTGCACACAATGGACTGAGCTGAGGCATCTTCTGGTTTAGGTGGACTTGGCTGTCCATAGCAACTGAAGTTCCAGTTGGAATTATTTCAGAAAGACTAAGTGTATTTATCATATGGAGACTTTAATCCACATTTGAGTCTGCTTCAATCAAGACTTTCTAAGCCATTTTCAACTCACTCCTGAGATTATGGAAAATAATTTGTGGGCCTTACACATTTTTGATTATGTACTCACCAGAAGAATTTCAAAAAGCTCTGCATTCCCTTGCCCATTTTTAACTTAACATTAAAACATAAAGCTCTTGTACATGTCAATAATCTACAAAATGTAAACATAGATATTTTTGGAAAAAATTGATAGAGCACTCTTTTAAATGTATTTGATGGATCCTAATACCATAGTAATTTGACATACATGATCATCCATGAAGCAATTATCAAGTCATCTTTAATAATTGAAAATATTTTATCATTGCCTTTTGTCATTGAACATTCCAATTCCCCTACAGAATGTTAATACATGTTTATACTGAACATCTTTTATGATCTCTCTGTCACATATCTCTGAAACAAATACATACTATAAATTGAAATACATTTTTTTCTCTGGGATCATAAGGATCTAAGTGTTTAAAAAAAAAAAAAATCCTCTTTGGCCGGGCATGGTGGCTCACGCTTGTAATACCAGCACTTTGGGAGGCAAAGGTGGGTGGATCATCTAAGGTCAGGAGTTCAAGACCAGCCTGGCCAACATGGTGAAACCCATCTCTCCCAAAAATACAAAAATGAGCCAGGTGTGGTGGTGCACACCTGTAGTCCCAGCTACTTGGGAGGGTGAGGCATAAGAATCACTTGAACAGGGGAGGCAGTGGTTGCAGTGAGTCAAGATAGTGCCACTGCACTCCAGCCTGGGACAGAGCGAGACTTCATCTCAGAAAAAAAGAAAGAAAAATCCTCTTTGATTACATTATCATTGATATTGTTTTCATTACTTTTAAAACGTTAATTGGTCAAGACAATATAAAAATATTGTAAATGTTGGCCGGGCGCGGTGGCTCAAGCCTGTAATCCCAGCACTTTGGGAGGCCAAGACGGGTGGATCGCAATGTCAGGAAATTGAGACCATCCTGGCTAACACGGTGAAACCCTGTCTATACTAAAAAACATACAAAAAACTAGCCGGGTGAGGTGGCGGGCGCCTGTAGTCCCAGCTACTCAGGAGACTGAGGCAGGAGAATGGCGTAAACCCGGGAGGCGGAGCTTGCAGTGAGCTGGGATCCGGCCACTGCACTCCAGCCTGGGTGACAGAGCGAGACTCCGTCTCAAAAAAAAAAAAAAAAATTTTTTTGTAAGTGTTAATAACTATTACAAATACAATTTAAGGGGGTTGCAGCTTGTATTTTAAGCAAGTGTTTCAAGTGTGCAGTCATGAATATTACCTATAGCTATAATATGTTAGGGTTCAGCACAGATTCTGTTCCATTTTTTCATTTCTACAGATTATAAATGCTGTAAACCCTATTTCACAGAAATAAGTAGATAAGTAGATAGGCCCAGAAGAAACATTATTATGGCAATTTTTTTCACAATTTAAAAAATATGTTTTATATTTCAAAAGTCATTTAGTGATCTCTAATCGAAATATGTAATTACTTATCAGTGGACAACTCAATTTTGTTGAAATTGGTGGTTTAGAAACCACTGAACTTTTGGTACCCAGGTAGGGTTGACAGAGTTAGCAAATTAAAACAGAGAACACCTGGTTAAATTTGATTTAATATAAATAATGAATGCATTTCTAGTATATGAATGTATTGTGCAATATTTTGTACCTATCTATACTAATAAATTATTCATTAGTTATCTGAAATTTAGATTCAATTTGGTGTTCTGTATTTTACCTGGCAATGCTATACCCAGATATTAGAGTCATTCATTTTCTCAACACTCATGCCTATCAATTATTTCAAATCATCCAGGAGGCTTCGACACCCAGAGAAATATACCATTTTAAAACTCATGGAAGGTGAGAGGTAAGCCTGTCTTTTAAGGAAAGACAGAGAACCATTGTGAAAAGGGAGATGAGAAGACAAAACAACCCTGGCAACCTTCACAGTTCTTGTTTTCAAGCAGGTCAGTTTTAGGAGAAACTACATATGAAAGTTGAGAGTCAGGCTATTAATTCCTTAAAACTATTTGAGCTCCCACCTCCCTGTTGGTAAGTCTTTGTAAAAACCCAGGGGCACACTTACCCCAATTTAAAGACTATGGTTGGCCAGGCACATTGGCTCACACCTGTAATCCCAGCACTTTAGGAGGCCAAGGTGTGTGAATCACCGGAGGTCAGGAGTTCGAGACCAGCCTGGTCAACATGGCGAAAACTCGTCTCTACTAAAAGTACAAAGATTAGCGGGGCATGGTTGTGGGTGCCTGTAATCCCAGCTACTTGAGAGGCTGAGGTAGGAGAATTGCTTGAACCCGGGAAGCAGAGATTACAGTGAGCTGAGATCTCACTACTGCATTCCAGCCTGGGAGACAGAGCAAGACTCCATTGCCAAAAAAGTAAATAAATAAAAACAAATAAAGACCATGGCTTAAGAAATCCTTGAATTGACTGAGTCCCACGTTTTTCAAACTGGTCATGAGAGCTAGGGTCAGGCCTACTAGGTTGGAAGCAAATTAACATGTCTCCTTTGCAACATTTTGCACAATTAAAAAAAAATAGTTTCTCTAGATAAATGTGTCTGGGCAAGCACTGTATGTATTTGCTCACCGCGTTATTCTAGTACTAGTAGAGTGTCTGCTCAAAGGTGCTCAGTAAACCTTTGTTTACTGACTAACAACAATGGAGCCAATCTATCCAAACTATCCACTTAGGCTTTCTCTATTCTAAACCTGCATCCATATCTTTAATGGTGTAACATACCTTGCATTTTCTTTCTAACTCTTTGTATATCTCACATACTTTATAACAAAAGCTCCTCTTTCCCTTTCAGCATCTAGCTGTTATCCTTGCACAGGGGCCATGCTAATCTTCTCGGTATGGTTCCAATTTTAGTATATGTGCTGCCAAAGCAAGCGCAGCCTAAATGTATTTTCTCTCCAAATACTCTTTTATTTTCTTCCAAGCCAGTGAATTCCAAGCTCCAAATACTCTTTTCACGACAGAAATACACAAGGAAACCTTTGAGGAAAGTGACAAGATAGACACATACTATATAGCCATTACTATCTTCAGTTTTCTAGGTTTGTTTGTTTGTTTGTGGTTTTGTTTTTTCATTTTTATTTTTTTGAGACAGAGCCTTGTTCTGTCACCCAGGCTGAAATGCAATGGCACAATCTCAGCTCACTATAACCTCAACCTACTGGGCTCAATCTATCCTCTCACCTCAGCCTCCTGAATAGCTGTGACTACAGTCATGGGCTACCATGCTTGGCTAATTTTTGTATATTTTATAGAGACAGAGCCTTGCCGTGTTGCCCTAGCTGGTCTTAAACTCCTGGGCTCAAGTGATCTATCTGCCTTGACCTCCCAAAGTGCTGGAATTACAGACATGAGCCACCACACTTGGCCTCTCGGTTTTCTAGTTTTTTTTCTACTGTCAGTGTATGAGCAAGGTGTGAATGACAGAGTTTTTCACCCCATTCCTGGCTTGGAACTCTGACAATCCCTGAGAGCGATATGCTTTCAGTATCCTATTATTAAATAATCTATTTAAAAGTATGTTTCCCTTGGGGGGAATTATTATTAAAAATATTTTTCTCTGGAGGGAATTTCACATAATGTTGTTAACAACTTTAGTTGTAGCCTAATGCTTTTTCACTGTAAGTTTTTAGATTTTTATGTGTAAAGAAACCCAGGAATCTAGAACTGAAAGTGAAAGTGAAATCTAACAGGGAACATGCTGTTCTGATTCCAAAGTAAATCTGAGTCCTTGTAAATGTTGAGAATTTCCTGGTCTGTTGATAACTTTATAACATCTTGCAAATAAAATACAATTAGATCAGCCTTGAATGAGTGCTAAAGACCAAATTTACAAAGAAACCTCCTCTAATGTAAAGCTGTAGTCAAGACGATGCAGTTTACCCCTCACAAATGGTGGCTTACTTTATTTTATACTGATAGTACTCTAATAAAATATAATTGATATCATGTAAAGTACACAGATATTAAAAGTGTGTAGCTTTATGATTTTGACAAATCAATGTACTCAGTTAATAACCATCAACCAGATCAAGACCAAGAACACCTTCCATTACCTCAGAAAATTCTTTCATGCCCTTTTCCAGTCAGTACCAAGCTACAATGCCCCCACCACCCCTCCCCCTCCCACAATCACTATTGTGATTTATCACCCTAGATCTCGTTTGTCTGTCCTTGAACTTCATACAAATGAAATCATATGATGTGTACTCATACTGGCTGCCTTTACTCAACATGTTTCTTAGTTTCATCAATATTGTAATGTATATCAGTGATTTGTTCTTTTTATTGCATAGTAGTATTCCACTGTATAAATATATCATAGTTTCTTTTTTTTTTTTTTTGAGGTGGAATTTTGCTCTTGTTGCCCAGGTTGGGGTGCAGTGGCACGATCTCAGCTCACTGCAACCTCTGCCCCCCGGGTTCAAGCGATTCTCCTGCCTCAGTCTCTTGAGTAGTTAGGATTACAGGTGTGCACCACCACGCCCAACTAATTTTTTGTATTTTTAATAGAAACGTGATTTCATCATGTTGGCCAAGCTAGTCTTGAAGTCATGACCCCAGGTGATCCACCGACCTTGGCCTCCCAAAGTGCAGGGATTACAGGTGTGAGCAACTGCGCCTGGCCTACTATAGTTTATTTTTCCATTTTCCTGCTCAGGTACATTTGTGTTGTTACCTGACTCAATCCCTTGTGAAAAGAACCTATAAACTTTTATTTATTTATTTTTTTTTTGAGACAAAGTCTCACTTTTTTGCGCAGGATGGAGTACGGTGTTGCCATCTCAGCTCACTGCAACCTCCACCTCCCAGGTTCAAGTGATTCTCATGCCTCAGCCTCCTGTGTAGCTGGGACTACAGACTCGTGCCACCACACCCAGCTAATTTTTTGTACTTTTAGTAGAGATGATGTTTCACCATGCTGCCCAGGCTGGTCTTAAAGTCCTGAGCTCAGGTTACCCACCCGCCTTGGCCTCCCAAAGTGCTAGGATTACAGGCATAAGCCACTGTGCCCAGCCCAGAACCTATAAACATTTTAGATTTTTGTTTGTTTGTTTTTCTTTAATAATATAGATGAGGTCTCACTATGTTGTCCAGGCTGGTCTCAAACTTCTGAGCTCAAGCTCAAGGGATCTGCCAACCTCAGCCTCCCAAAGTGCTGGGATTACGGGTGTGAGCCATTGTGCCTGGCCCATGTTAGTTTTTATTTTGGTGAACCTATGAATTCTTCCTGTTGGCTAAATAGCTGGATATGGAATTGCCATTGGGTAGGTGTATGTTTTATTTTTATTAGAAATGGCCAAAAGTTTTACAAAGTCTTTGCACCATTTTACACTCCCACCAGCAGTGTATAAGAGTTCTAGTTGCTACACATCTTTCCCAAGACTTATTATTGTGAGCCTTTTTAAGTTTAGCTCTTCTTTTGGATATGTGGTGGCATCCCATTATGCTTTTAGTTTTTCTATCCCTGTTAATTAATGATGTTGACTATACTTTCATATGCCTCTCAACACTTTAGATACCATCTTTTGTGAGGTACCTGTTCAAATCTTCCTCCAATTTTTAAATTGAATTGATTGACTTAAGGGAATTCCTTATCTTCCCTGGGTTGAGTCCTGTCATTGACATGTGCATTGTGAACAGTTTCTCCCCATTTGTGGCTTGTCTCTACTCTTTATTAATACTTTCCTTTGATAAGTAGAATATTTTAATTCTGTGAAGTCCGACTTACAATATTTTTATATTCAGTGTGTTTTATATCCTGTTTAAGAAACCTTGGCCTATCCCAAGATTATGAAGATTTTCTTTTAGAAGCTTTGTGATATTCACTTTTATATCTAGGACTATTGAAATGTAAAAAGGGCCGGGCGTGGAGGTTCATGCCTGTAATCCCAGCACTTTGGGAGGCCAAGGCGGGTGGATCACGAGATCAGGAATTCGAGACCAGCCTGGCCGATATGGTGAAACCCCATCTCTACTAAAAATACAGAAATTAGCCAGACGTGGTCGCGCGCACCTGTAGTCCCAGCTACTCCGTGGGCTGAGGCAGAAGAATCGTTTGAACCTGGGAAGTGGAGGTTGCAGTAAGCTGAGATCGCCCCACTGCACTCCATCCTGGGTGACAGAGCAAGATTCTGTCTCAAAAAAAAAAAAAAAAAAAAGTGGAAAAAGTTCCCTTGTCCCCCTCACAGGGCTTGGAACAGGGAGAATGGCTCACTTCTTCAGTGCCCCGCTGCTCAAACCTCTAGGGGGAGCATGCAGACAGGCAGGCTATGGGGCCCTGACCCCATGTCAGTGTCTAGGGGTGAATGCTTATAGCTGAAGGCCTAGTGGGCATGTGTTACAGGGTGCTCTTTTAGGTTAGCCATCCGTAGGTGGCTTATGTTAGCTCAATTAGACCCTTGCCTTTTCGCAAAGACAGCTTTCTGTATCTCAGGGTTCTTTCCTTGCTGTACCAGAAGAATAGGATCACATGTGGGGTTGGAGAATGAGTGCAAAGGTTTATTGAGTGGAAGTAGCTCTCAGCAGATAGGGGAGCCAAGAGAGAAATGGTTTTCCCCTGGAGTCGGGCAGCTCGGCGGACTTGGGCTCTCCTCTGACTGTCCCAGACGAACTTCGTGTGGTTCAGTGGTCAGTGGCCTGCCAGCCTGCTGGTGTGCTCCTATGCCAGTGCTTTCCTCTTGACGTCCAGCCGCCTGTGTGTCTGCCTGCTCGGGTCTTGGACAAACATTGGAAAACAACACAAGATCATTCAAGTCAGTATCTTCTACTTCTTTCCACAATTCCATAAACTGGCATCGATCTAAAGTATTTGCATATATATATTGCACAACTTTCATAACAGTATCCACTATGCTTTCCATGAGCCTGATTCAGAACACTGAGCACAAATGTTTTCAGTATGTATTTATGATGGATGGATGGAAGGAAGGAAGGAAGGAAGACATCAATCTCTTGTTTTAAAATTTCATAAATTCATAACTAGCTGAAATTCTTCTTTGACAATATTAAAGATTCAAATATTTCTATACCATGAGTTTGACCTTTTAGTTTACAAGTTGGCAACATTTCATAAATTTGGAAGTTCTTTGAGATGAAATATACCCAAAGTATTAATTGGGCATGACTTATCTAAAGGTAAAGGAAAACACTTGCAGTTTTTAAAATTTTAATCAATTAACTTGATATGCTCAAAAAGGGCTTGTAGGCTATGGGCAATTGTTTGGTGGCATAAGTTAAAATATCTTACTTTTTGTGAAATTTCATTTTTACTCTTTTCCTAATAATTTTCTAACAATTTCCATAACTATAATAATAATGTATTTTACCATGTCCCCATGGTTTTCTTTTGTATGCCAGAATCCAAGCCATTTAATCACCACCTAAAGTTACAAGCCCAGATCCTGTTAAGCATAATTTTTTTAAAAAATCTGGGGGAGTTGGGAACAGTGGCTCATGCTTGTAATCCCAGCACTTGGGAGGCCGAGGAGGATGGATCACCTGAGGTCAGGAGATGGAGACCATCCTGGCCAACATAGTGAAACCCCGTCTCTACTAAAAATACAAAAATTAGTCAGGCATGGTGGTGCATGCCTGTAATCCCAGCTACTCAGGAGGCTGAGGCAGAATTACTTAAACCCAGGAGGTGGAGGTTGCAGTGAACGGAGATCACCCCACTGCACTCAAGCCTGGGCGACAGAGTGAGACTCTGTCTCAGGAGGAAAAAAAAAAAATTGAAACAAGGGTATGTGAAGTGAAGTTGCACCAAACCAGCAACTACAGTTGCCGCTGTTCTAGCTTCAGTTTTGCGATGTTTCCCTTGGCCAAAAACACACTAAATCATTTTTGAGTTTGAAGCATTTAGCAAATAACAACAA